TTATTATTATTATTATTATTATTATTATTATTATTATTATTATTATTTAATAATACATTATTAATCTAAGTGCTATTGCTATTACTACAGTATGGCTTTGCATTGGACATTAATACCCTGATATGAATACTTAGGGATAGTTATATTTTAAAATTGAACATCAGTTATGAAAAGCAAAATTAAAGGAATTGGAAGAGAAACATACAATATACAGTAATAATATGAAACTGAAAAATATCTAAATGTAGACATAAATTTGACCAAAATATGGTTTTTAACTAACTTTTTAAGCAGAACAAAACCAGGTTCATGTGGTTAAAACAGTTCGGAGTTTTGCAAAATCCTCTCCCACACACAAATATATACAGTAGTTGGAGACTGTATCACATCTTTGCACTGTTTTTGACCACCAGGATAAATGGTGACATAATAATCTTTGTCTGTTTCTCATTTGACCTATTGCTACTCTTCACTTCAAATATAATAAATGTCTGTTACTATTCACTGATAACTGGATTATGATCATAATCTGCATCCAAGACAACTATGTGGTGAATGTTTTACTTTTTTTCAATGGATCATTCTGCAACTTAAGTACTGAATTCTTTTAGTTAGACAGTTGTTAAGTGAATTTTACCCTATTTTGCGAAATTTCTTGTCTCGTTTGTTAAATGAATCACTAGTTGTTAAGTTAGTAACATGTTTATTAAGTGAATCTGTCTTCCCCAATGACTTTGCCTGTCAGAAGGTCGCAAAAGGTGATCACATGACTTTGGGACACTGCAATCATCATAAGTATGAACCAGTTGCCAAGCATCTGAATGTAGGTCATATGACTATGGGGATGCTGCATGGTCATTAGTGTGAAAAACAGTCATAAGTCACTTTTTTCAGTGCTGTTGTAACTATGAATGATCACCGAATGGGTGTAAGTCAAGGACTACCTGTACTTGAATCTGTTGGAGGCAGTTATCCAGTTCGGGACTAAATTTCAATACATTATCATTATACATCATTATGACAGGTTGTTTGGAAGATATAGGGGATGTCACAACACAGTATTGTGGGCTACAGGGCAGTAATAGTTTAAAACTCGGTTCTAGCAAGGTACTACCTCAACTTTGCCTATGGCTGGGGATGTGCTTCCCCAGGAGCTGAGGTACTCCTAGGTTACTGGAACAGCAAGTGGAAACTGAGACCGGGAGGCTTTGTCTTTTCTGCGATGTGCCAGGTGCAACCATTCTTGGTGACACAGTGGTTAGAATGCAGAACTGCAGGGCTAACTCACTGCTCACTCCAACCTTCCATCCTTCCAAGGTGGGTAAAATGAGGACCCAGATTGTTGGGGGCAATATGCTGACTCTGTAAACCACTTAGAGAGGGCTGTAAAGCACCATAAAGCGATACATAAATCTAAGTGCTATTGCTATTGTCGAAGCAGAAGGCACTGGCTATACTTCCTTATCACCAAATGAGTTTCAATGCTGTAATGCATTCTAGATGGGCCACCTGCGAAGACCTCCTGGAAACTATAGTTGGTACACAATGCATTAGGCTGCATATTAATCAGGCTAACAATATTGCAGGGAGTTTGTCTCCAAGTTATAATTCAAAGTCCTGGCAAGGACCTTTAAAATGTCACGTGGCTTAGGACCATGGTTTCATGCCGCCTGCTCGGTGTGCCGATGCAGAGTGTTTACGGAACGTCTCTACCAGCCCCAAAGTTTATTAATACTCTTTCTCCTGTTGAATACCCTACCCCCATATCATCTCTTCTCATACTCAGAAAATCTTAAAATATGACTTTTTAGATGAACATTTGGGTACTTAAATGTGATATACCTAAATTAAGACGAACTCAGCAATTTGTGTTATTTTATGGTTTTCTGATGCCACCACTGTAGTTATGTTAAATCTATATTGATAGTATATATTTATAACATACACATGTCTAATACATTTAGATTTTAAAAAATATTTATTATACTGTAGGCCAGGGGTGTCAAACTCAAGGGCTGGGGGCTGGATCCGGCCTGTAGGGTGCTTAGATTTGGCCCATGGGGCCACCCAAGAAACAGTGAAGGACCAGTCCAGGTCTCTGCCTCTGCCAGGGAAAATGGAGCATGGGAAGGCCGCATGCAGCCCTCCCAAGCTCCGTTTTCCCTGGGAGGGGGTTGCAGGGGGTTATTGCAGCCGAAAACTGAGCTTGGGAGCCTGTTTTTACTGGCAGGTGCTTGCCCCCCCCCCCCGACATGCTCCCCTGGTCCCCCCCCCCAAGGTCAAACACAACCCTGATGCGGTCTCAATGAAATTGAGTTTGCCCACTGTAGGCTGATTAGAGTTGTGCTGGTACAATTGAAGTGACATGGATGAAATAAATAGATAAATAAATGAAATATTTATGATTTCAATGCCTTTATTTATTTCAACACTTTAATGCCTCTGGAGTATGAGAGACTGTGAGGGCATCAGGATTAAACAGTGTACATAGGAAATGTATGAATTGATATTTAGCTTTTCTAGATAAACTGCATAATTTCATAAAATTTCTAAAGTATTCATAAAATTTCATATTCATAAAATTTCAAAAACTATTATTTACAAAATGGGCATTTGAAAGCTGAATTTGACTTCTGAACACACTTCAATTCTGTAGACTGGAGCATGAATTATGCTGTTTTTTCTCTTTTCTTCTACCACACAGAGATTGACTATATGAGCAGGCTAAAAAAATTTACTGAAAATAGAAGTCTTAAACTGTATCTCAGGTGAAGTCAATGGAAATCTTATTAAGTATGTCTATAGCACTGTCATGACAGGCAGAATAATAGTTCACTGAATGGCCCCAAATGTAAGAAACAAAACAACCTGTGGTTTTGGCCAAGAAGTAAACATGTTGTAGCAGAACTATGCAGTCATTGGCATTCCTTTTAGTATCCTTTTCCATGTCAAGTATTCAGAGAACATTTTACGTCTCATTTATTTTTCAAGGTAGTGCACTTAATGAGTTTACAAGAGAATGGTTCTGTTGTCTCTCAGTCATCTAGAACAAATCTTTATTTCCATGCCTTAGTTATAAGAGACAAATATTTCAAAAGGATTTTTCAACTATAACTGGTCAGTCTGGGCTTTCTTTAAAAAAAAAAAAGATTTATTTTTATTCTTGTTTGGATGGACTTACACAGGATAGAGTGAAACCATGCTATAAAAAAAATAATTGCTTCATGAAGCTGAACAGGGACTCTTTATAGGGCTATCATATCTGTGCTACAAAAATCCAGAGAACATTTAGATGGTACCAAAGAGATATAAAAAACTCAAAGTCATCTAATTGTCATTGGAGGTTTGTTGCTAGGAGTATTATTTTTTCATCCTCTGTTTCATTGATGGTTACAAATAGTCACATTTTATACAGCCTATTTTTCCTGTCATTCTAGAAGCCTGATGAAAACTCACGAGTGATCGAAAATGCTGGAAGGAAAAGGGTTTAAGAGGGTTTGTGTGTCAGTATGCTCTGTCAGCCGTCAGCCACAGAGACTCACAGGTTTGCTTTTGTTGAACTTGGTTAATTTTTGCTATTTAGTTAAGAAGTTTGAAGGCAAACTATTTTACTTGGTATAGGATTAAT